CCTCAAACTCTTCCTTTTTTTAACCGAAAGGATTGGCGTGTGTATCCATGTATCCCTTGCCATCATAGCGTTTGACGCGTTTCATAGGGTCTTCTCCTGACATGGACGCCGGAACAACGAAGAAAAGGCCGATGTGTATCCGTTTTGGCTCGCATGCTTCGTTTCACGGATAGATTAGTTTCACGGATGGATTAAGCTTCACGTACATATATAAAACTAATTGATATATTATATAAATAGAGGAGGTGAGAATAAACAAACCTTACAAACTACTACTCTTAAACCACCACCTGAATTGACACCCGAATATACAACATTAAGTCTCATACTTGAAGACGAAAACTTTGAATAACTCATTGAAAGTATAATCTTCTTATACAGTACTATTAGTAATATATGAGAATTGATAATGACTATCAGTATCGATTCACGCATGATTGAGTTGGTGATTTCTCGGCTGTTTCTCCTCCTTTTCGGATGAGTGAGCGTGTATCAGACTACACCCAACCCCCTCCACCTACCCTCATCCCGCGAGACGGCGGCGGGCCCCCCTGTTGCGCATGCAACGAGAAAGGGACGTCTGCGCTGTCCACATGCAGCCGACGATGTGACTGCCGGAATCACAAGCGCCTCTGCACTAACTGTGTCAGCTGCAAGCGCGGCACGTGCACGAATTTTGCGTATCCCGCGGACCCGGCCGTTTGCAGTGATGATGATGATGAATCGGATGCCGTCTCCCCCTCTGCTGGCCCTGCCGTGCCCTCCACGGCTTCCTTTGTCGATGAGAAGATGCGTGAGGCCTTCGGCGAGCCCCTCGTCAACTCCGCCAGTGGATCGACTTTCCCTGAGTGGGAGGCATATCACCAGCGGATCTGCCAGCTTCGACTGCGGTGCGTGAAGGATCTCAGCAAGCTTGGCAACCTTGGCCGCGCCATCGCCGATGCCATCGCTGATGAGGTGGAGAAGATCTCCAAGCTCGAGGCACCGTCCGAGCGGGCTGGCGTCTTCGTCCGCACACTCATCCAGCGAGATCCGGATGTCAAGAGGAAGCGCGATGTCAAGCGGATGCTCTGGAGGCGGCTGGAGATGTGGCAGAAGGGGCAGGTGGAGGAGCTCGTGTGCGAGGCGGAGCGACTGGACCAGCAGTTCCCCACCACTCAGCCTCAGCTGGACGACGCGTCGGTCTATCGCATCTTCAACAAGCTCATGCTCGAGGGCAAGGTCCGGGCGGCCGTCCGCTTCGTCACCGAGAGGGGCGGCGGGGGGGGTCCTCCACCCATCTGCTCAGGCCGAGGAGC